TGTACTTATACTATACATGGTACAGTGTAACTAAGATGATTTTTGCTTTATTGCTCTGTAGAAACTATGAACTGAAATCATTTGGGAGGAATTTAATAACTCCAGTAGTTTGGGAGCTACTGTAATAAGCCAGTAGCATTGACATGACTCAAGCAATAGAATAAAAAATTATGTCATTCCTCTCCCGAGACATTATTGTTTAAGGTTTAAGAAGAAAAGGGGATTGGATATATGTATTCTATGATTATAATCATTCCTATAATTTATATCACAGTCAGAGTAGGCACATTGTTCTTCCAGGTCCTGACGAGGTCATGCAATTTCAACCTATCCCTTTCCTTGTCTCCTTCTATCACCCACCCACCATCCTTTAGTGTTCTTTGAAAATGTACATGTTCCTCAGTTTGGCACTTTGCACCTGTCTCCTTGCCATAAACACTCTTCTCGCTCACCAGGTAGGCATATGGTGCACCTGACAAAGCTCTATTTATCACCGAGTCTCCCCAGAGCTGCTAGTTTAACACGTCCTCCCGTCTACTTCCCCCTTCCTTAGCCCCTTTTTTACATTTGCACTCATTTCCTGGCAGAACTTCACAGGTTGTTGGCTGTCCTTCTACATTCACTAGAACATGAAGCCAGAAGGGCATGTAGTTGTGCCCATTTTTGTTAAATGCCTATAGCATTGCCTGACATTCAGTGTGCAGCTAATTATTAAGTAAGTAGGTAAATGGATGAATAAAAACACAATTCACTAAACAATTTACTATGGGTCAACTGTCCCACATACTAAAAATATAGAATGGAAAAAAATAACCTTTACAATAACACAAAACGTTACAGTAATGTTACTAATTCTATGAAAAAGTCTTATTATGATGGCACTTTGCAGAATGATGAAGCAGACCTATCCCCAAAGGCAAGGACATTGAACTTGGATTCAGATAAAAAGCCCCAGTTATAGCAAGCACCCAGAGTTGTTGAGATACTTACGTGGTAAACTAAACTCCTATCCAAGTCCAGCCTCTTCTCAATAGCTACAGAGGTTGTCAACAGATGTTTAAATAGCATTTCAGGAAGTGTCCTCAGGCAGCAGTATGCAGAAAGACACAGGGAGACAAAAGGCCATTAATTAAATGTCACATTAACTAGAGAAGGAGCAAAGGACTTCAGAATGGACATAGCTGTGCAGCACATGGGGAGGGGCCAGAAAGACACACTGACAAGCCTGATAGACTCAGGCAGGGGAAGTCGGGCAGGGGGTGTTCTCAGACCTGAGCTAATCCACTTTTGGTTAAAGACAAATATTCCCTTGGGAACTATCATATTTGACTTACTTGCTGACTGTATACTATATACTGAATATTGTATATAATCATTAGAATGGAATTTAGCAGAGGTGTAGAAAATAGGGACAATCAAGTATGTTGTATAATTCTCGCTTATAATCTATCTAAACTTTGTTTTGCATAATTCTCTGATACTTTCTGGCAGATCATGAAAGTGATGAGAGTTATATATACATTGATGATAATAGTATTTCTCCACACAGAATTTTTCAATAGCTTTTAATCCTTTAAATGAAGCTATTTCCACTATACAAAATTCTTCAATATATTTTATGTCACTCAGAATCTATATTGACATGAGCATATTTCAAGATTCAAACTGTACATGATACTTAAACTTAAAGAAATATACTTTTATGTCAGTAATCTACATATAGCATAGTTTCTCATTTTAAAACATACAGGAATTATTTTTGAAAAATCAAATTTCTATTTTGACTGTGTACAAAAATTTTCAAAGTATAAATGTTCCTGCCAAGAAAAATGTCTAAGAAGAAATACTGTACTAAGAAAAATGGTCCAAATGAAGTATAACACTATTCTGAAAACTGTTTTATCCAAACTTACTAAAATATTGATAAAACCCTAAATAGAACTACTTTAGAAGTCTTAAACTACTGGAATCCTAATATTAGTAATAAAAAGAAACATTAGGTTCACTAGTGAACAAGCATTTATAATATCCTTTATCCAAGCCATTATTTGGATTGAAAGAATAATTTTAAGAATAGGTAAGTTAGGCCAGCAAGCTGGTTCAGCATAAAAAAGCAGTTGGTACACAGACCTAGCCACCTTAGTTCAAGTCCCAGTATCCATGTGGGAGAAAAGACTCTGTTGATTTTTCTTTTCACTTCTATACACACATCATAGAATATATCCACATTTTTATACATACGTCACATACACATGTACACACACACATATGCATACCACAGACAATAGTTTTTAAAAAGGTTGCATGAGCTAATGAATTAGTCTATATAATTGCCTATCACTTTATAAACTCTCATTTGTACCAGAAAGAAAACTAATGAGATGCACATGTCTTAATGAGCTGGTAACAACATACCTTAATTTCAAAACTGATTTTTGAACAGGAAACTTAAGTTATTCTCTTATATTTAATTTCTATATTGTCACAGATATATAACAATGTCATCAATTTAAACATATTTAAAACATACTTTTAAAAAATCTTTAGTGCAGTAAGTGTGTGTGTGTGTGTGTGTGTGTGTGCGCGCGCCCAAGTGTGTGTTTATTTACTCAAAAGTATGTCTGTACCTTGTGTTTAACTCAGCTTTCCTCCTGATCCCCTTCTGGTAATGGATGACGCTCTCCTTGGCTCCTGACCATTTTTCCTGCAGTGAGACTTAAGAATTATATGTACATTTTTTGTAACTGAGAATATATCTTGGCAGCAGACTTGCAAATAATCTATAAGACATGTATTCATAATTCAAAATTAATGGTAAATCTTTTTCAAGTCCCTTTTAGGAGTTTACAAAACTAACACTAGGTATTCTTTTTTTTTTTTAATCTGAAGGGAAAATATATTCAATTTCTTTGGTTATTTGATTTTTCTTAACTATTGCATTAAAATATGCTAGTCTAATTTTATGTGATTAGTCTTTCCAGATCTCTGGCTTAATGTGACCATGCAACAAAGGCCAAATCAGAAAATTCCATGTATGTTAGTCTCCATTTACAATACTTGATGTACAAGTCTCTTGTTTTTCCTTGAAATTATTCCCCTGAAATGGAATACCCAATTTAATGAACGAGATTTTTTTTTCAAGTGGCAGAGTTAGAACGGGAATGCAACCATTGTGAGTTGGACATATAGATCCTCCATCTAAACACAGAATAAACGCAGTCCTCATCAGAATTTCCTTTCCAGCCTCAGTGTGTCACGAAGGGAAATGATCTGGAAACACTTGAGAAGATGGAACCCTGGGCAATGATAAACCCAAGGCTGTTCTCCCTTCTCAGATCCCCTATCACAGCTTGCAACTTCGGCCCTTGCTTAGCACTGACATTCATTTCCCAAACAATTTACACATGTGAGGAAATGATTAAACATGTTTATGTGCTAAAAAGAAAGAAGTGGAGAAGAGCAGGCTGATACAGATGCAGGGGTAATTGATTGGAAAAGGTCCCCCTGGGCAGAGGCAAGGATGGATTCCAGAGTCTACCTGATGTATTGGCTTGTGAGGAGGAGGGGCTCTTCTCCCTCTGAGGTCCATGTGGGCTTGGGTTGAGGAGAGATGTGATCTGGATGGGATTTACACCTGATGCTCTATTTTCTCTGAGAAATCTAAAATGGAGAATTTCAAACAGGAGGCAAGGTGGGTGGGGACAGTGCCCACAGAAATGCAGACAGTGAGCCTGTTAAAACACGGTTGGTGGCTCTGGTTGTTCAACAGAGTGAGTCGAGAAGGAATAAGAAACTGGTATGACACCACAAATTCAATAACCCAAGGCTGATTATAGAGGAAATGAGTCTTCCTGTGAGGGCTGTTCAAACTAGCAAGGGGAACAGGTCTCTGGATGCTTCTAAACACTGTGTCTCTTTAATTTTTTTAAAATCCATGAGCCATTCTTCCCCCTGATGATCATGCTTATGCTTTAGGCCATGTTACAGAGTATGAATGTCAGCTGCTGATTAATGGAAACATCCCACATTGAAAACCAGCCATTGGGGTAGCATGGTGCACTGAAGGGCTTTTGTGTAAATGGTGGCCTCGATAAACTCACTAAAACACAAATCAATTTCTTCAGGAACTAAAAAGAAGGCCTAACGCATATATTTAAAAGTAGACATAAGGAGTCAGAAATGAGGTTTTAGTTCTGTGTGTTCTTTTCCATTGTCGGAAAGCCAAGCCTTAATCTAAATTAAGCCAACAGATCCTAACACTGACTTTGTGGTTGAGAGCTGCTCAATTTCCTAACTGTCACATTTGCATTTTCTAAGTAAATATTCCTCTTCATCACACTAAAAACTGTATTCTGTCTGCCTCTCAGATAGCAGTCTGGCAACAGCTGGCAACATCTCTGGCAACTACTCCCTTCTCAGGTGCACACCAGGCCTTTAGCCTTAGCCTCACAAATTTGTAAACAAGATTTTGTGCAGGTCACTTGCCTACATTTCCAAAGAATAAAACACAGCCTGCTTCTCTGTGGCATCTTGTTTGCAAGCCTGCTTACCCGGGGTGTACTGGTGGAGGCATCATGGAATGCGTCCATTCTCTAGGGAATGGTGTTGAATTCTAATGCTTCTAGCAACAATATCCCCAGCCCTCCAAATGAGACAGATTTGATAGCTTGACAGGAATATCAAGAAACAAATGCACTGGGACCCCAAGCATTTTCTTTATAAATGAGAAATCAGATCCCTCTTGTATGTGGCTAATGACTTTCAAAAAATATTTTTGAACACACACACACACACACATCATTTACCCACTTTGTATTTTCATCTGAGAATGTCCTTTCTAGCATTTTTTAAGTACAGCAAAGAGAACCTTACAGAATAGGAGGACTTGGTTCTGATGGCTGGTTGGTTGGTTGGTTGGTTGGTTGGTTGGTTGGTTGGTTGGTCATCTAAGCTTAAAGGGCAGCGGTATTATGTTAATTGAATTCTTTTTCCTCTTTTAGGGACCTCTGGGGCCTCCGGGACAAAAGGTAGGGTGTGTATAGCAGTGTTAAGAGAGTACTTATGCTCCTTTGTCTAAAGAGAGCAAGTGAAGTGATGGGTGATATTGATGACCATAAACAATGATGGAGTTAGTGTACTCTGTGCATTCTGCTGTCTAAAACATTTCATTGTCATGCATTAGAATTGCCTTAGATTCCTAAGCATGATGTTATTACGCATCAGAATGTGCCTTGGATTTCCATTCTGTTTCATTGTAGACTATTTGGTAAGTCCAGAGAATTTTTTGAGCTGTCTGCTGAACCTGTAGGTTATGGAATATTTAATTCAAATATTGGTAACACATTCTGACAGCATTTACAACACGCAGGATCATGTGACGCTGCAAATTGATTGCTGGCCTTGGTCAACTATATAACTGCCAAATGGCCACAGAGCTGACCCTAATAGAGGATATTCTTGTTGCTTGATTCGTTGCACTGCTTGGCTCGCTTCGTGTCCCCCTTGTCTCACTCAGTGTCCCCCTTGGCTGAGGTAAACGGAAAAGTGACTTCCTGATTATAATTTCCATCTTAGCCACAATCACCAAATTGCATTCTAAAGGGGAGGATCTAGTCTTCAGAGGTCTCACCAGCGGTCCAGCAGTAAATACAGCATTAGCCATTGAATACCAGTAAGTCCCGTTCACTGCTAACCTCCCACCCTGAACGGGGAGGGAGAGGATGTCCAACTTACTGAAAACAATTGTGTTGTAACAGGTGGGAAAGTGATTGCTCTTTATCTTTGGATTTCATCAAAGACAGGGACATTTTATCCCCAAGTGCCAGGCATGTGGCATCTGTTGAAACATAATCCTTCAAACCGAGTCAAGGGCCTGCACTGTGAGACATCTTGCATGCCAGAACAGTTTGTCCCTCACAATAATGTCTTTATTAAGCTCAGTGTGAAATTGCAAAGCTAGCCTCATCCACGTGCAACCAGGATAAAATGCCGGCTCCAGTCTTCAAGATCTTTAATTCCCACCCATAGGATCATGGGCTACATTAAGAAACTTGCCAGCTCAATTTGTTTGGCATATACTTTTTCTCCAGTGGGCTATTTTTAGAGCAGTTTCTTGATTATCATGACTATTTAATAAAAATTCCTCTTCCATTATTACAAAAGAAATTTAATATACAACTAAGAAAAACAACCTGTTTTCTTGTTCTACACTGAGAATGAGCACAAAAAAACCAAACAACAACAACAACCCACAAAAACACCTTTTCCAGCGCCTAAGGAAGGTAGGGGCAAAGAAGAAATGACATTTCCTTTTGAAAACATTTACTAATACTCCCTGTATTCGCTTAAATATCATGGACTGTCTCAAGTAGCGATCGGTTTTCCTTCTCTCAGTTGAGCCATCTTCAACCAGCTGTTCTTTCTAAACTAGTGGGTATGTGTGCTCTTGTTTACCTTCAACATCAAAATACAGAAGTTGTGTTGTTTCGGGTCAGCACACAACATGTGTGTTGCTTTCTTGAGTCTATCTGAGAAGCCATATCTCTTAGGAGATTTAAGCTCACTTCCTGAAAGTCCAGAGGAAAAGTAGTCCAAATATAACAAAGCTGAGTTTCCAGCACAGGTCCCTCATGTAGTAGAGTAAGCAGTTGCTTTTTTAATTACCCTCTGTTTCGTGTTCTATAAACTTGGCAAATTCAAGAGTCGCTGCTACTGCTCAACTTTTTCCTGGTGGAATTAAATTGTCTATGTCTTTAAAACAAAACTTAGAGCCATGTGGCCTCCTGGATGTCACCGCTTTCAATTTATGTGAGATTCTTTAAGTTATGTTATAGTTAAGTGAGTATTCAGAAAGAATATTAAACTTTATCTCTACTTTCTGGGACAGTATGAAGATATGTCTAGATTATTAGATACTAGAACTCAGTGGATCTAGAAAACACAGCCTAGAAACCTTTTGTATGGGTGCTAGAGTATGTTTTAGTCATGTAACATTGTGGCTTACATAACAAACACTGCACAGACTTAGATCTGAAATACTGATCAAGATATCAACTTAATTTAATCATGTGTTTCCTTAGGGTTCCATCGGAGCACCTGGAACCCCAGGCATGAATGGGCAAAAGGTGAGTTTGCTGATTGTGGCATTTATTGAATAATTTGGAGACTGTTAAGAGTAATGTCATTAATAAGCTTGTATGTTTGTGAATACAAGAAATCCATTAGAACAAGAATGCAAATGAGTTGACTTTAAAGAAGCAGTGGTCCCCAGCTATAACTTCCATTGTTAATATATTGGATGTGCTCCATTTTGTTAAGTTACTGTAGATGAGGTAGGGAACAGGAGGGATCCTGTACTCAATATTCAACTACTATATTCATTCTGGTCATGGATAAATTAATATATGATATTTCTTTGATTAACAAAAGTTATTTATATGAGAACCCATTAACATTTTCTGAACCAGAGCAAGCTCTTTTCACTATTAAGCAAACCCGAGAATTAAATGGACTTTCCATATGCTGGTACTATTAACTTCTGGTGTGTTGTTAATAATGGAGGGGATCAGATCAGGTCTCTCTCTCTCTTTCTCTCTCTCTCTCTCTCTCTCTCTCTCTCTCTCTCTCTCTCTCTCTCTGTGTGTGTGTGTGTGCCTTTCCCTCCCTTACACACACACTTCTCCTTGCATGTGTTTATTTCTTTCCATAACATATTTATCATTTGGAGAATGCATCTAATGTTACCCACAGGAAGCCTGGTGTCTGTGCACTTAACATGATTACCAGCTCTGCACTCTGGAACCTCTACAGAGATGAACAAAGCCACTGTGGGACCTCACAAAACCCAAAGTTGGCGCAGCTCACCATGGGCCAGGAAGCTGGGGCTGAGACTTTCCTGTCTCCCTCTGAAATCTAGACCTAGCCCTTAGAAATCTCGTGACTCGTCTTCTCATCTTCCAGAATATTTTAAAGTCCTGGACCCTGGACCAAGTTTTGAAATCACACAAGGACCCCAGCTCTCACTGAAAGAACAGACTTGAACATGACCATTTCATCTTGTCTGTCTTCCTTTCTCTCTTAAGACCTCTTAACTCCACTAAGTAGCTAAGAACATAAACCCAACACTTATATGCTGTGTAGATTCTGACAAAGTCTTTGAATTCTCTGACATCCCTTTCTGCCTCCATGTGAAGAAGATGATCACAATCCCGGCCTCAAAGGCCATGTAGGGATTAAATGTATTAACAAGCCTTTATAACAGTGTCTGACACTACTGTTAAACTTTTCCTGTATTATTTCACTTTAGTAGAATGCTAAAGGTTTGACTGATCTGTATTTCAAAGAGGTAGTTCAGAATTACTCAAATTCCAAGGAAGATGAATATTCCCAATCAAGGTTCATAGTACCCTCATTACATTAGCCAAATACTGAGTACTCACCCATAGCCCATGCCAGAGCCTCATTTACACTTCTGTAAAAATGTACATTCTTCTGTCCCAGTCCTGGTAAAGATAGAAGATTGACTTTCTTTTTACAGAATTGCAGATCATGGAGGGGAAACATGATCAAAAATTTGAAAAGTGCTTGCTATAAGGGAGATTTGAAGGTTGCATAACTTGGGATGTTTTGAAATTGGAGAAGGCCCAGCTTGCATGCATGCTTAATATTTTGCTTTGTCTTTGTCTTTTTTGATTTTTTCCTTTGTCCAACTTTGAAAGTCATCATGAAAATTTATAGAAACCTTTGACCTGAGAAAAACAACTTGAAAGTTGTCTTTTGAAGCATTCATTTTTTTTTTTTTTTTAAACAAGGAAACACACGATCTCCTTGGAAAGAGAAAGGAATGTGACATTTTCTTGTCCTAGTCACCGCATTTAAATTACGAATCATGGAAACAGCAGTGAATAGTCACAGCTTTATGTATCGCAATATATCTTTGCAGCATTTTAAATGTGTTTTCTCTGAAACAGTGGGAAGCCAGTATCCCATGTTTGTAAAGATATGAGCACAAGGCTGTGATAGCTCATTTTTCCTACTTCATGGACCTGGAACTGAAGGACTGTGGGTAGACCACCCCTTAATCCTCACTAGTACTTCAAGTTGTCATGGCAGCTAGATCATCTTTAGGAAGATAGGGATAGAAGGATTCTTTTTCAATAAGACAACCACTCTCTGTGATGTCTGTGACAGTAAGGGCAAAGTTGGCAATTATTCTATAGTTGGAGTGTCAGAGAATATCAGAAACTTCTAGAATGTATTTTTCTAAGACAAATGTTGAAAGTTACATCATAAGTTCTTGAAAGGACCAGTGTCCTGTAACTATCTTATGAAAGTGTTTACTTCCACATTACAATTTCACTTTTTCCAAAGTAGCTTTTTTTTTTTTTTTTGATGCCTAGAAAGTCATTCTCTAGCTACAGTTAAGCCATCAAAAATTTGGAAAATAACTAGACAGAAAGAAATGATTTTCTGTTGTGTTGGATAAAAGAAAATCATTTTAAGAAAACATTTTATTTCCTACCACACTACTTTCAAACCATTTAAGTTGACAAAATTGGTGATTGGTTATAGACAGTAAAGTTGATGATGACTTAGTTTTACATTTATTTTATTTTAAATATTGGCCACTTTGATTGGCAGCCTGAATGTTTATTTACTTATTCTGCTATGTATCTGTTACCTATTTCAATAATGCCAATGATAATCTCAGTATATTCAGATGGATACAGATCAGTGCCCATTGAAGGCTGCAGTGTGGTATAGAAGGAGCAATGCACTTAGGACCCAGCAGGTGGCTTTTCAGTGTCAGGTTCAGTGCAAGTGGTGTCACACATAAAGAAAGATTTGTAATGCCTGCAATGCAGTTACTAATGATGACTAAGTAATATGTATTTATGTCATGGTCTTCCAATTGTTTATACTGTGCTGAGTAAAAGGACTTCCACAGCAGTGACATAGTATGAAAGTCTAACCTGGATCCTTCTGGAATCAGCCTGTTAAGGGGCCTTCTGTGAAAAGTGTGGGGTAGTGTAAGGAGTAAGGTTTCCTTATTTAACCGCAATAGGGTAGGGTAGTGCAGCAAGAAAAACGGTACCTCCTAGCCTTAGCAAGAATGCTCCATGTCTTTGTCTGAACACACTATGAAACACTCTTATGGCTCTGGTATAAAAGACAAGAGGCCTTATAGTGCTAACTAGACAAGGTAATGAAAGTCAATGTTATTAATAGATGATCAATATCTATAGTGATTCTGACACATTTTGGGAGTCTCAACCCTTCAACTCTAGCATAGAGAAGAACCTCTTAAAGTCAACATAGGATGACAATTAATATACAGGGTTACAGAGGAAGCTTAGACTCTCCTTCTGTGGCCTCCCCAACCCATCTCCACCCAGTATAGAGTAGTCAAAATGTTAGGATCAGGGGTACAGGAAACGGGCTATGTCACGTATTACTTCAAAAGTGTCATCACTGCTAGTTAATGTCTCCAACTCTGGAGGTGACTGCTTCTGTTCTTTGAAGAATCCTTTTCTCTCTGGGCTTAAGATGTAGCTTTATCTACAAAAGAAAGGATGGTGTCAATTTATCTCCCAAGTCCCTTAAAGACACAGGTCCCAAAATGTCATTCGTGTTACAATACCCATTCAACACACTTCTAGCATCATTATTCCCAGCTCTGAAAGCTAGTTTTCCATACTTTGCACTGGTTTCCAGGAGCCAAAACAGGTCATATGCCATACAAACCCCACCAAAAATATGAATAGTTGCTGCTAGTTACATTGAACAAAAAGTAAGTTGTATAATTCTCATGTATAGGTTCTGTTGGTTAAAACTTGGGTGATATGCTTGATGTGCTCACAGGCAAATGCAACCCATGGACTCAGCTAAACCCTGCTCCTGGAGAAATGCTCTATGCAGAAATGTGGGATACTTAAAGTATCAATGTTAAAATGAAGACACATTTGGCAGAATTGATGGAATTTTCTAGTTTTATCAGAATACTTGGACATTAGTTCTTTCAAAATCTATATTCACAATAGGTATTATTTTAAATCCTTTATTTTTCTTTTCTCTCATATGTTTATCTTACTTGGCTCAAGCACCGTAAACCCATCACCAAAATAATTCATTTGAAAAGCAATTAGTGTAAGTGCCATGGAAAAAGAAATCTGGTAACAGATAAGCAAACTTGAACATGAAAGACCCAGCATATGTATATCTTAGCAAAAAAACTCCTTTTCTATTTATGACTAGAAAAGAGTGTCAACTGTTTTTGTGATTAAAAGCAAATTATTTTTGCTTTAAAAAAAAAAAAACTAGGATTTTTCAGAGTTCTGGGTCATACGGATTCTTGCAAAAAAAAAAAAAAAAAAAAAAGTATAGATGAGCTTAGCCACTATAGTTTTCAAAAGCTTTTCTAGATCATATTTTTTATGTTTAAAACATACTGTAAAAAAATGAGAACAATGTGTCATCTCTGGATCTACCCCAGATAGCTGTGTGGTTTTTAAGTGACATTAAATTTTCATTAGCTTGTGGCCATGGTATTTGGAATGCTGTTTCATCTCTTACCCAGGAGTCTCATAGTTCTTAGCTGACATTCGTCTTCACAAAATACTTCTAATGGCATTTTTTATTGTAAGTATATTTAGAGAGCAGATTAATTGAAGCTTCCAGGCTTGCAAAGGTCAAGCCATTGACTCAAGTCTACACAATTAAACCACACAGTGAACCCAATATTCTGTGCTTGATTCAGTCAGCGTAACCATTAAACACAATGTCTTTCTTGTTTCAATCTTTTTTAAAGTAGAAATTAAGGCCTGAAGATGTAGGTCAGCAATAAGCATGTGCTTGGCATGTGTACGGCTAAGATTCTGTCCCCAGCACACCCCCAACTTTGAATTAAATTGTTGAAGGATTTCATCTGTTGTAGGTCTATTTGCTGGAGCCTAAAAGTTTCCTATAGCAAAATTTGCCAGTGACCTATGTAATTGTGCCTTTCTGTAGTTGTCCTAGTTGTCCGGTAAGTAAAAACAGTAAGAAATGGCTGACTTCTGATCCCAGATTAAATCATTAATTGTTCATTGAAATTATCCTACAATAATTTACTCCTTGCATTGGTTAA